TTATAAAATAACTATAAAATAAATTACCGCTTTCCTTTGTCGGCAGCGTCTTTTCCGAACAACCTTTGCCATTCAAATTTCTTTGTAACGGTGCAGTTTTCGTTTGGAAAGGTCATGTCAACTGTTTCATTTACTTGAGAAGAGATCGTTTCCATTTTTGTTTTTACTTCAAAATTACAAGTTTGATATTGAGCACAAAAAGCCACAAAGACAAACAAATACCAAACAATGTTGTGCAATTGAGTAAAGGAAGTTGGTATTTGATTTTTAATAGGACGACCATTTTTCCTGTCGTCAGTAATGATTACATAAGTCATGCGTTTACTGCAAAAGTGTTATTTATTAGGAAATGTAGTCAATATGGCAAAAAAGAAAGTGCTTACGTCAGCCGTTTCAATTGTGCTGTTGACTTACGCGTCATGGCCAACAAGAGCAGAAATTAAAAAAATCACGCGTTATTTCAGGGAAATTAAACGTGTAACAATATGTAGACAATTGTATTTAAAAAATCTAAGATTTACGTCGCGCTTGAAAATAATTTTAATTTATGTTGTATTTAGAGATGTCAATCTTTGGTATTTGCATTTTTTCTGTCTCTAAAAAATAATTAATGAGATATGGAGGAGCGCGCGTTCATGGACTTATTGGCTGGCCGATTTTAATTCCTATTAAAACTTCGTATGATAAACCAATTTTATTTAAACAATAAATTTCAAATTACGGAGTTCACTTTCGGGATGAAATAAGCTGTGCAGATAGTAATCGGTCAAATATGACAGTTCCATTTGTAAAGTTGTAATTTAGAAAAATGAGGAAACAAGGATGGATTTGAAAATGTTGGGAACGTTGGGAAATCTAATTTTGTATTTACTCTGTACATAAAAATGCTGCAGTTTTTTTAACATTAGATGAACATGTAGAAATATATTAGATACTTATAGCAGTTATAGCAAATAAGTATAATAAAATTTACGATTGGCGCTTTTTTTTCTTTTTTTAGTAGCCTAGGTTCTATTAGTTCGCATTCGCACTGTACAAAAATATAAATAATTAATCCCTATTTCATTTTCATGGTCACTCATGTTATTAGCTCTGAGATAAACGTTCGGTTTTATATTGATAAAAAAAAATAAAATATAGGATTACATTTTTTTTTAATTGTACTAAATTTTATTTTTTTCGAAAAACGACTGCCATCAGCGTTTACACTTCAATAGTAATGACTCATAAAAAATTAAACACAATGAACCGCAATCATAAACGCCGCCCTTTTCTCCTCGGCCAATGAAGTGATTTATTAAGGTGGAGCTTGTGCGAGTGGGAGGAGAATCGATAATATTGCTTTTAAAATAAGATGCTTACATCTGGCATGCCTGTTTAACACCAGTTTAATATTTTTTAAATACTTTGTTTAACAACTTATTGATTGTCTCACCAACGGTATAGCGGATTTGTCGAAGATTCTAATAATGAGAAAATCATAATGTCATTAATTAGCAGATTAAGAGTAGTCATTAAAATGAATAGGAGGTGGGAGGTGGAAGGGTGGGACATTACTTGCTTATAAAAGACTCTGTAGGAAAACGTTTACCTTAATTTTTTAAGATTCGACCACCTGACAAAATAAAATTAAATTTTTTCATAAAAAAAAACACTGTGAAAATCAAAATCGGAGGTGGGTGGGGTTAATTTTAGCTTTTGGTCTACATTCCACTGTGTATATATGTAAATGCCACTTTTTGTCCAATAAAATGAGTGATAAGAACCAAAACCGGGTGGGTGGGCGGGGTCACTTTGAATTTTTTTTTTAATTAGATTCGACCACTTGCCATATAATTCAATTTTCATCTCCCAATAAATAAAATAAGCCAATGAAATGCAGATGCAGGTGGGTGGGATTAATTCTCACTTTGTCTATTTTACTAATGTTTATCAATATAAAATCCATTTTTCGTCTCACAGCTAATAAAATTAGTGATTAATTAATTTCATTAGTTCTTAATTAAAGACGAATGTGATCTTGGCAAACTATTGGCAAACTATTGGCAAACAATTCTAGAACAGGTAACCGTGAACATTTTTTTTTGATTTGGGCATTTCATAGAACTTACAAAAAAAAATATATTTTAAGAAGTTGGAAAACATAATTAAAGTGATTAAAATTTTACTTTTTTGCTGAAAACGTCCAAATTTAAGCAAAAAAACAACAAAAAAGAGAAATAAATGCCTATAAATGTTATAAATTCATAATATTTACGAGTAAACTTAGCGTGAACACAATAAAAAAAAAGTTCAAATTATTGGGACAAATGATTTTAAATAAGAAAATTAAAATCATGAGATCGGATCAGTTTTGGAAAAAATAACACCCAAATAAAACGGGGAAAATGTGAGGTTTGGTCAGGTCACGTCAAGTTAAAATCCACTTTTTGTCCAATGAAATGAGTAATCAGAAAGAAATCCGGGTGGGTGGGCGGGGCCACTTTGAATTTTTATAAGCATATATTCGACCACTCGACAACCTTTGAAGTTTTTTTAATTAAATTTGACCACTTGCCATAGAATTGAATTTTCATCTCCCAATGAATAAATAAGCCAGTGAAATGCAAACGCAGATGGGTGGGATTAATTCTAACTTTTAGTCTATTATTCTATTGTTTGTCAATATAAAATTCACTTTTTGTCTTACAGCCAATAAAATGAGTGATTAATTTGATTGCTTTTAATTAAAGACGAATCTCATCTCGGCAAACATGACATTTCTAGAACAGGTAACCGCGAAAATTTTCTTTTTGCTTGTGCATATTATAGAATTTACAAATTTTTTAAATATTTTGAGAACTTGGAAAATATAATTAAAGTGATTAAAATTTTACAAAAAACGTCCAGATTTAAGCAAAAATGCTTTCAAAAGAGAAATAAATACCTATTACAAGTTATAAATTCAGAATATGTGAACTTAGGGTCAACACAATAAAATAAAAATTGAAAATATTGGAAAGAAGTGATTTTGAATAAAAAATTATAATCCTGAGATCAGATCAGTTTTGGGAAAAATAAGAACTAAATAAAACAGGGTAAATGTCAGGCCAAGTCAAGTTAGGTCAGGTCAGGTCAGGTCACGTCATGTTAAAATCCACTTTTTGTCCAATAAAATGAGTAATCAAAAAGAAAACCGGGTGGGTGGGTGGGCGGGGCCACTTTAATTTTTTTTAAGTTACGATTGGATCGATTGACAAACTATTTAAAATAAAATTTTCATCTCAGAGGAAATAAAATAAGCCAATGAAATTCAAATACGGGGCTAGATGGAGTTAGTTTCACTATTTTGTCTAAATTCCACTAGTTATCAATAGAAAACACACTTTTTTTTGTCGAACAAAATGAGTGAGCAGAAAAAAACCGGGTGGGTTGAATTTTTTTAAGCGCAGATTCGACAACAGACAAAATAAAATTCAATCTTTACCTGATCAAAAAAAAACAATGAAATTCAAAAGCGGAGGTGGATGGGGTTAGTTTTTCTTTTTGTCTACATTGCACTGACTATCAATGTAAATGCCACTTTTTGTCCAATAAAATGAGTGATTTGAACGAAAACCGGGTGGGTGAGTGAGCACTTTGAATTTTTGTAAGCATTGATTTGGCCACTCGACAAACTTTGAAGTTTTTTTAATTAAATTCGACCACTTGCCATAGAATTCAATTTTCATCATCCAATTAATACAGTAAGCCAATGAAATGCAGATGCAGGTGAGTGGGATTAATTATAAATTTTAGTCTATTTTACTACTATCTGTCAATATAAAATCCACTTTTCGTCTCGCAGCCAATAAAATTGGTTCTTAATTAAAGACGAATTTTATTTCGGCAAACATGATGTTCTAGAACAGGCAACCGTGAAATTTGTCTTTTTGATTTGTGCATTTTATATAATTTACAAAAAAAAAATAATATTTTAAGAAGTTGGAAAATATAATTAAAGTGATTCAAATTTTACCGAAAACGTCCAGATTTAAGCAAAAAGACTTTCAAAAGAGAAATAAAAGTTATAAATTCAGAATGTTTAAACTTAGGGTCAACATAATAAAATAAAAATTCAAAATATTGGGAAAAAATCATTTTGCATCAGAAAATCCTGAGATCAGATCAGTTTTGGAAAAAACAAGAACCAAATGAAACAAGGAAAATGTCGGGTCAGGTTAGGTCAGGTCACATCAAGTTAAAATTCACTTTTTGTCCAATAAAATCTCTGTCGGAGGTCACCAACGTAGGTAAGCGAAAAACATGTTGCTGTCCCGGTGAGAATCGAACCATACGTCACCCGCTTGCCGGGCAGCTGCCCTTACCACTAGATCACACAGCGGCTTATCTTTCTCCGCTTACCAACGTGTTATTGTGCCGCCACAGAGTAAGAAAGAAAACCTAGTGAAGTTAAAAATGGAAAACTCTTTTCAAGTATAGAATACTCACAAATGGAATATATTTAAGTACCATTAATGTAGACGAGATTATCACTATTTTCTGATAACTTCAGCACCATCGAATTCTTATATCATTCTTTAGGTCCAACGAAAAGTTAAATATTTAGGGAACGAACTGTACACTGGAATCCTAATCAAATACGTATCGGAGAAACTGGAAGTTCTATCAATGCGCCATCCCGAGGGTACATATGTAATTCGTCCTGTCTGAAAAGTCAAGTAACCACACGATTGACAAAAATTATTTAAGACTGTTAGGAAGTGTATATTTCTAAAGATAAAGTGTGCAGTGGAGACGCTGGTCTATCAAACGGCCTAGTTAAGGTAACATATAAATTGTACTATAGCTAATTTTAGTTGGATTAAAAGATTCCAACATCGTTAGAGAAATGCTTTCACCTTTTTAATCAGGTCGATGTCGGCTGTGTGTTTAGTACGTTGTATTAAAGCCGAGCACAAGGCATATTGACATCAGTTTTTTTTTAATTAATATTCATTAATTAAGGTCAAAGAACTTACCTCTGAACTGGAACACGTGGGCCTGGGGAAGTGCCGTGCTATCTGGAATAACAATAAACAACAATCAGTATCATTTCTATCTCCGTTTTCACAAGATTTCAAATTCCGACATCCCACGGTTCACTCCCGACCAGATTCTCTCTGCAAATATTTTCTTTTCTTTACGATAAAAAAAAACTCCGATTTATAAAATAAAGAATAAAGCCACCGCGGCGCTCGCTTTTCCATTATCACCATCACTAATTGTGGTAGGGTGATACCACAGAACAATTTATTTAATGGAAAATGTATTACATCGGAATGACTAATTATTATTTATAATTGAAAGTAATTATAAAGCAGAAATAATAATGCATTTTCTTCCATTTTCCGAAATTATCATCAATCATCTACTATTAGCCGAGCTTTTCGTGTTTCACATGGCCAAAACGTGTTTACGCTTGTATTCATACTTGTATTTTCGTTGAATTATGCTTCTAACGGGACGTAATGTGTTGGAATTGGTAGAATTACGTTTGTGTGTTTTCATTTAAGTATTATGAGCGAGACCTGGGGGCCTCACAAAATCACAACTCGTACTTGTTGTGGAATCTTCCACTAAAAGAATGCTTTTGTGTAAATTCGTAAACGATGTATGTTTGAAAGTAAGTTTAACATGAACATTAACATGCCAAGTACGATTTAGTTTAAGTTTTGTTAGAATTTGTTGTTCTATTCAATTTATGCTTCATGAGAGAGTTATAGTCTTCAAGTCATATTGCTGTCTGCCAGACATGTTTTTTATTTTGGAAAATATAATAAAATTTATTTAGAGTAAGTATACTAATTTAATGTGCTTATCTAAATTTTATTTTTTAGCGTAACGCCAATTTTCGGTTAAAAACACGTTTTTTCTTTATCAATGCTAAAACAAAAAGGTAACCTGGTTACTGGGACCCTTCATATAACTTTGATAATAGTTTCCATCTAAGTATACTTACATGTGTATATACAAATTATTTAAAGTAAGTATAACACTTCGCTATTTTACATTCATATCTGCACTAACGGCACGGGTTCTTAATTTTGATTATACTACTTGAAAGCTATAATCTTAAATAAACTACCACTTTCTTCAGCTTTTATTACGTTCTAAATGTTCCCGTATTTTATGAGTAAACGCGGAAGCAAACACATTAAAAAGTGTATTAGAACGTATTTGTGTAATGACTTAAAAAGCACAGTTGTGCAGACTGGCAATAAAATTTGCATATTTGCAGCAATTTTCCCGGATGCGGAGAACATACCGACAACCTAATAAAATGTCAATGTCTAGTATGTCTGAAATGCACCTGCAGTAAAATCCACTCATACGTCTGCACCGTTGAATGTTATTTGGAATTTATTTCTTGGGACATTTTAGTTGGGAATGGCGCTTCTTTATGCAGCGTTCAAGAAAAGGCGAGATTTTCTATGTGTCGTAATCTATCCACGATAATTTTGTTTAGAGGAGAGGCGGTGATTGTGGAATACCCTTTTTGTTCTTGGTTGCAGAAAAAAAATTTTTCAACAAAAAATCATGTAACTATGTCAAATGATAGGCTAATTATTATTCTATAAACCTCTCAGAAGATTTTTTTCAATTATGGATTTTTGTTCGATATATAACAAATTTTGTACTTTTATGTAATTTTCGGGGGTCGAGAAAATGGGTGGCTATTGTGGAATACCGCCAAAAATCTCACATTATCATACAAAGGTACATGGAAATGATGAAATATTTGGATTGTTTTATTAAAAAATAATAGATTAATTAAAATTAATAAATAATTCTCAATTTTATTTACTTTGGCCAACTGGTAAGTAATTGAACGCACATCTTTCCTCGTTAGGCCAAAAAATTTCGACTCCATAGTCAACAGATATTGAACAAGTTCTTCTTCTAGTTCAGGAGGTAGGACAGCCTTCTTGCCTAATTTTTCTTTCTTAATTTCCTTGTTTTTTTTAACATATCTATATGTATAAAGTCGTTCTAGGCACATTGAAATGTTTGGCTGCCCGCAAATAGCCCATTTTTTTACTTTTTACAGCTACGGCAGCTTTTTCCATATCGCTTTCGGACCATAGTTGTTCTTTTTTGACTGACATAGTCCTTAAAATACAGGTAATATTAGAATTAACTTAAAACCGGTTAATGTGGAATAGTCCACATTACCGTACTAGTCAGTAGTCCACATTAACGCAACGAGTCTACGAACGATTTTTATTAAAAAATAATAGTAATACCACATAAATAAATGTTAAATGAGATGGCATTTAACTGTTGATTAGAGACGTATTCTGTATGACAATATCTATGACTTTTATAACACTTATATGAAAAATATAAAGTAAAATTGAAACTTACCAAAACTTTTCTACTGCGCGGAATATACAAATAAATTAATTCTTAGGTTATGTTCACAGTTAAAGCAGGTAACTGCAGCTGTGCATTATTATGCACCAAAGGGTATTTGAGTTATGCCAGCAGAACACAGATAGCGCTGTCAATTTTTTCAAAATAGTGATATTCCACATTATCGCCCTATTCCACAATCACTGCCTTTCCTCTACTATTTTTTTAACTTTTTTTTTTAAGTTTTTATATGCGCCTAAATATGTCACTGCTAGTTTAAGAGGATTAATTTCCAGCAGAATTTTACGCAGTTAGCTGTAATCGGATTTGCCATCTACTAAATCTTTCATAATGTTCAAGCAATTAGACTTCAGATGTTTACTAAGAATACTGACTCCTACAGTGGAAAATTTGTAGTTCATCAAAATAGAAATGCTTAAATAGTAGGTCACTTATCTACTGATGCTTCCAAATTAAAAAAAAAATACAACAAGCCGCCCATTGCATAAAATACTTAGAAGAATATATCGGATGAGCAACATAACTTGTAATCGACTCATCCTTGGAAAGGATTTAATTTGTCGGTGACTAAACCACCCTCATAAATATCAACAAATAGAAAAGAACAATAAATCATGATAATGTTCCTCATTTTGTTATAAGCATAAATGAGCTCGTCGTTTAATTCGATCGATCACGCTTCATCAACATGTTTATGTCGTTAATTTGTTCTGTTATTCTGAACCTTAATCCTTCCAAATTATCGACAGGTGTTCAATAAATAGTGTTCTCTAAATAGGGCCACAAAAAAACTTTGATTGAAAACAAGTGTTGGCTTAGTAATTTCAATATTCTACTAAGTAGAATTAGAAATTAACGTGGTCCCATGTTCATAGATAATAATCGACCATCTTAACAGCTTAATTGATTTTGTAGTTTAGTTAATGGCGAAACGAGACCAAAAACGAAGTGCATGAGAAAATTTATACTGATGTACAAGATGCTTTAAATAAGATTGAAAAGGCGTCGTCAAAAAAAGAAAACAATTTCTTATAAAATCGATTGGTGACTCTTTAAAGAAAGGATTTGTTCAAAGAAAACAAGATCAAGCAAGTTTTGAGATGACCCACTTGAAAACCACCTTAAAAATAATGTGAGGTTTAGTATTAATCCACTATTAATAGAATGATGACCTGAAGTAATCGCTGCTTCAAGTGAAAGTGGTAGCTAGTCACATTTATGGATAGTTTGAAAAAATAATGTTATATTTCAAGAGAAGAACATGTGTTTGAAATTCTTCAAGATAATACCCGATAAATTAGTGCTGATTATATTTAGCCTTTTTTTTATTAATATGCGTACTCATCCGTTTTAAGTTTTTGTTGTAAAAAGATGAGTACCTCTATTAAGAAAGAAAAGGTAAACTATAAGCCCCGCCCACCTGCCCTGCCTGAATTGTGATGTTTTTTTTTATTCGTCCTGAGCCAAGAGAGAGGAGCTTAATTGCAAAATCTTTATTTCTCTACAAGAAACTACCATGTAAGACATGTTTTTGAGTATCGTCAAAAAATACTACGTATGTCAAGTAAAAATTAAAGCCACATTGAGATCCAGACGAATGGGTAGGGTTTATGTTTTGGCTTTCTTTTTACGTAATATATATAGTTTGTTCTGAACAAGTTTGAGAATTAAAGAATATGTTTTACATAGCAATTTCTCGTAGAAAAATGAGGATTTAGCTGTAAAAAAATCATCACTATTGAGATCGGGCGGGTGGGCGGGGCCTATATTATGCCTTTTTTTTTATATACGTAGTCATCTGTTTTAAGTATTTGTATTCAAAAATGACTATGTATATTAACAAAAAAAAAGGTTAAATATAAGCCCCGCCCACCCACCCCACCTCAATTGTGCTGATTTTTTTTATTTGTCGTGAGCCAAGAGAGAGTAGCTTAATTGCAAAATCTTTATTTCACTACAAGAAATTATCATGTAAGACACGTTTTTGAGTATTGTCAAAACATACTATGTACATTAAGTAAAAATTAAAGCTAAATTGAGATCGAGACGAATGGGTGGGGCTTATGTTTTGGCTTTCTTTTTTACTTAATCACACTTCACATAGGAATTTCTCTCAGAAAAATAAGGATTTTGCGATTAAACTCTGCCGCCCGGCTTACGACGAGTAAAAAAATATTATCATGATTGAGGTAGGGCGGGTGGGCGGGGTTTATATTTTCCCTTTTTTCTATATATACGCAGTCATCTTTTCAGAACCAGAAACTTAGAATATGTTTTAAATGGTAATTTTTTGTAGATAAAGATGGATTTTGCAATTACCTCCCTATGATGAAATGATATGAAAGAAGAAAAGAATCGACGACAGGTAGAAAGCCTATTTTTTGCACATTTTGAATTCAATTTACTTCGCAAAATTGTAGATAAAATCAGCAAATTTTGGCAGAGAAAAACAGAAATAATTTTATTGACATCTTGCTGTTTACACTATAATGTAAACAGAATTTCACAGTACATATTTGTAGGTCCTATTACAACACTTTCCTAAATTAAACTCGGGAGGTATTTGTAAATGTATAAATATTTAAGAAAAAATCAATATTATTGTATATTATTAAATTCCTACACAATCTGAGACATGCTCACAGAC